AAAAAAAGCAAAAGTAACAAATGTAGGAACTAAAAAAGTAACTGTAAGTAAATGTAAAACTTAAAATCATTGAAAGCCTTTTTAAAAAAAGAACGTTTTAAGACAGTTCCTCAGGCGCCTTGTTGCAAATGCTCTGTCCTCGTTAGGTTTTCGCTGGACCCCTACAACAAATAAAATACCTCTGCCTGAGGATTTAATGGTACATAATGCTGCACATTCTAATAAGAGGTGAAATCTTAAAATCAATTAAAAAACATTCTGGGAGAACATGTAAACATGCCTAAACAGGAGTGATACAATGCGATCTCTTTGGTCTAGTTAAAATCCTGGCAGTCTGCAGTCATTCAATAGATTTATTTGGCTTAGGCAAATAAACAGCCTGTTGCAGTAATCTCGGTGTGAGGAAATAAAAGCATGAAAAACACTTTGCAAAGGCAGCCATTCAGAGAGCTCAGTGTACTGCGGATTATTTACTGGAGGGTCAGATGATCTAAGAGGCCGATATATCTGTGTGTGATCAGCATAAAATTGAAAACATAACAGAGACTATAAGGAGAATAATTATATGAAGAAGAAGAAGATTGGACCTAAAATGGACTCCTGTGGAGACACAGAACTTCCTTTTTGACAAATTTGACTTATTGCTAAACCCTGCATGCTGTCACTATAAAAAAATGCTTTTGTCTGCCTCGATGACCACTTACCATTTATTATTTATTCAAACTTGTCAAGTGCCAGTAGAGACAGAAGTAAGGACAGCATGCAGTATGTTAAAGACTCAGAAGCATCATCCTGAATTTTCTGGCTGATGGTTGAAAAAGTATAATCAACTGAAATGCACACATCTGGCAGAACCCCTGAAATTTACAGAAGGACAAATAAAACAATAAAACTCAAGGTAATAACTTTAGTTGTGACGTTGATATAAAAGATAATGTTTCAAAAATAACTAAACAAGTAAATACATAGATTTGTTTCAAGGGGGCTTAAAGTGGAAGGTACCTCTGTACGTTCCTATTGTTGCTAATATACCAAAAGATGGGAAAGGTGTATATACAGGAGTCCCCTTAAAAAGCACTCAGTCACAACAATATTGAATTGTGAGCTCTACGCTAATGAAAAATAAAACAGATCATATTTATATACCCCTCCTTAAATGTAAGTGGATGCTGCCCTCATATAATAATGGTCCAGATTCTTCTTTTAGTGATGTTTAAACCATGACTGTAAGGAGAGCAGGTGTAGAAATGTTCTCTGGTCTGTGCAGAAAAACAAATTAACATTATCTGACTTGATTATTATTGTACTGGCACTATAACATCAAAATGCAGTGCAATGGCGTGTCCAAGGTCATCTTGATAGAATAAAAGTGCGATTTTTATAGCACTAATAGTAAATATGAGTTTGTTATGTAGTTATAAGTTTAAGTTATATTCAACATTTGTACTGTTTTCAGGATGCATGTTGTTATCTTATCAGTATGACTAAATTGTATTGGCAGAACAGCCTTATTCACCCTTATTACAATTGGAGGCACTTCATCCATAAAGCTGGGTGCTGATTGTTTAGAGGTCTTTACAGTGGGTTTTCTCTCAAATTGCACCTTTAATGAGTAATGATTTATCACAAAGTGTGACCAACAAATAAGGATTTTGTGAGAGTGACAGAACATCTAAATCCATACACAGTTTTTATCAGTTGGTCTCTTTTGGTGTCAAATATTAATCTGGTCCATGAACAAGTCAGCTCTTCTGTTCATTATTGGAAAAAAGAGGCTGGCTCTTTAAAACCTTTGAGCTTTTCATTACAGAACAGTCATAAAAAAAGTACAGACACAATGTTCAGCTCAGTCTTGTTCTTTAATTTCAGGCAGTAAAAAAAAAAAAAACAGCAGCACAGCGACTCACTCATTAACTCAAATATCTATTAGCTAATCACCTGGGACCAACTCAGTGCATTTAGGCATGTAGATGGGTGTAGATGGGGTCATGATGCCCTGCAGAAGTTCAAACTGAGCAGCGGAACAGGGGAAAAAAAGATAATTTAAGAAACTTCCAACATCTCATGGTTGTTGGTGCTAAATGGGCTGGCATGAGTATTTCAGAACCTGATGATATCCTGGGATTTTCCTCACACAATCATCTCTTAGGCTCGGAGAGAAAGAGAGAAACTATTCAGCAAGCAGTAGTTCTTTGGGTGAAAATGCAAGAACATGTTGTGTGGTCATGTGGATGGGCATTAATTAACTTCCTATATGAACTGCAGTAATTTATAAAACAACAGGGAGTTTGCAGTGATGCCAGTGTGCTGTGTAAGACTGATATGAGTACTGATATGAGTATTAATCACATGATACGATCACTGGTTTTTAGACTAATATAAGCTTCTAATCTGAGTTGCTGTGAATATTGATGGTGTCTTTAAGACAAAGAACTTTTGTGATAAAGTCTTTACAAAGATTCACTGGGATTCCTTGAAAATCACCAGCCACTGTTTGTTAAATGTCCCAGATGGAAGTGTTTGTGTTTAAAGGCAAAGTTGTGTTTGCCATTTTAAGATAACATGGTTTACAATTTAAATGCTATTCTTAAACAACACACTTCCCAGCGTTTTGCCTCTTTAAAAAAAAATTATATTAAAAAAAGTGTAAAAAGTGGAAGAAACTAGACACAAAAACTCTCCCAGCTATAAAACTGCCATGTGTTTGTTTTGCTACGTTTCTCTCTCTCTCTCTTATATATACATAAAAAATTCTTGTTACTGTAAACTTCAGACTTTGTTGTGTCCTAGTTGTGAGGTTTTTACACAGCTGCAGAAGTCCTTAAAGTTAGATTTTCCCATTCAACACGATGTAAAAAAAAAAAAAAGCTTAATTCCACAACAAGTGCCAGTAACATACCACTTTACCTTTGTTTCCCACAAGCTACTGAATGAACAAACCACTCATCTGTATCGATGCAATACTCCACCCGGTGTTTGCATGATTTACTGACTTCACTAAAAGGCCTAATCTGTACTTAAAAACAGAAAACATAGTGGGACGACACAAGCTGTACTACCACTGCTGATCCCAAGAATTCCAAAGGGAGGTTTGTTTCAGGAGGTGTGGAAATTTGTGCCAAACTAAAAGTTTTTGTTGTTAATCTCATCGCAATATCGCAATTGAACGAGAAAATCCTAGTTGCCAGAACTTTTGCAAAGTCAGCAGCAACAGTCACAAGCTTTTAATCCACTGAATCATTTCATTGTTTTAAGATGTTGAGGGGTTTTTTTTCAAGTTGTTCTTTGTTACAGGGCAGATGCAGGAGTATGGATTCCTCCTATCCTATTCTGACACATGCAACCTACTGACTGTATGAAATCATACTTTAGAATACTTTTCTAGTCCTACAATGAGCTATGCAGCAATGAGAAATAACATCGGACGCAGTAACAACAGTCAGACAGGAGATAAAATAATGTTCATATAACCTAATTATGGCTGTAGTGAGGCTATGATTGTTTTTTTTTGTCAAAATCGATGCAGTTTAGGTTAAAACACCTCATCTTTCGCTGTGCTGTTTGACATCAACTGACATCAACTCCCTTCTTTGTTTAATGAATCAGTTATTAAAAATTTGAATCATTCAGAAATTCATCTCAGGTGAAACTTACACAGACATTGACCTTTGGTTAAGTTACTGGAACTGCACTCCTTCACATAATAAAGTCTCTCTATTGTTTGGCTGTCCGTCTCCAGTCCCTCCCCCTTATTCTGCTTTTACAGCTACTTTTTGCTCTTTCCCAACAGTGTCAGCTGCTTCTCTGTCAAGGATGTTGATCTCTTTGAGTTAATGTTTGATATGCTACCAGAGATATAGACAGAAAATTGCACTGATTTCATTCTCTTTACCACAGTGGCTTTCTGTGGAGCAGACCTCTACTGTTAACCCACCTGAGCTCAGTTTTCAGCTCCACAGCTGCCCTGTGCCTCTTCTTCATACTGACTAGTGTTTGTGTTAGCGTTGACCTACCTGCAACACTTAGAAAGAAAGAGTTTTTTTCAGTTGTTAGTTCATTTTTTTGAGAGCATCATGTATAACTGGGAGAGAGTGCTGCATCTTCTGTGGCACCACAGGAACTATATCATCATAATCGTCACGCCACTTGTATTCCTTCCTCTGCCTCTCGTCTATCCTTCATCGGTGAGTGTGTTTGTGCATGGAGGTAAATTATATTTGTTTTAAAAAAAAAAAACAGCTAAAGATTTATATTGACTGACCGGACTAATCTTTTTAGTGTGCATCTTGTACACGTGCAATTTGAGAAGTTTGGCTATAACCCGTTCAGTTAATCTCACACTTGTTCTTAAAGAACAGGCATCTTGTAATTATTTTTAAATATATGATTTAAGTGTTTGATCACTGACCTACGCTGATGCCCAGCTTTAGAACTATACACTATATGAAGTGCAGTCAATCACAGTTAAACAGGCTAAGTTTGTCTGTCTGTAGTGGATAACATAAATGGTGTTTGAATGTTGTTTGAATTCAAGGGCTAAAAAGCTTTTAAAGTCAGGTGTTTTATTCACACTTATTAACACTTCTCTCTTGTTGCAGTTATTGAATCTGCTGAAAACATGTGGACTAATGATGGTTATCTCTAAAAATAAACAAATACTCACACTACAACATTGGTCAATTATCCTCCTGATACCCAGGCTCTTATTTGGGGTTCATTTTTAATCTCCCTGACCTCGGGCCCTGATAAATCTTAAAATCATTGAACAGGAAGTTATTACAATGTTGTAACATCCTCATGTGGTACCAGTTTTCTTTTATGGGATAACACAATAAACACATTGTATAGCAAAGTATGAAACACTTTGTTGAACAGAATGAAGTTTAAGATGCAAAAAAGCCAAAATGTAATGTCCCCATGTGAGGACGCAGGCCGTCTGGAGAGACGCATAGAGGATATTCTTTTATAGTTTTGATGATTTTCTTTAATAGACTGCATTTTTATGCCTATAACAAAACTGTCACAGTATGCAGAAGCAGACTGTATGTATTGTGAATACTGGACGCAAATGCAGACACAAAGGAACATGGAACAAAACTTGAATTACCAAAAAGCGAGCCATTTAATATGGCTGATGGAGAAATACAAAGTAATGCATAAGGCAAACAAAGATGAGAATAAACAATGACCTAAACTGGGGAAACTAAAAATAAACATAAAAAACCCTAAAAATGAAACTTGGCATGGATACAAAGATACCTGGAACATTGAGAGATGGCACAACAGACAACAGACGACCTGACCCTGAACAAAGGAGGACAAAGGACTTAAGTACACAAAAAGATAATGAGAGGATGGGGAACTGGTGGGAACACAGCTGGGACAAATCAGACCCGATGAGACAAGGGGAAGCAAAACTAAACACTCATTCACTCACTCACGCATACAGGACAGGTACTTTAACAGTAAAACAGAAAACAGTATGGAACGCAGACATGAAAACACGAACGTGACAAACATAAGACACACATACATGAAACGCATAAAGGACGAGGGACACTTAAACACAGGGCTAGAAGAAACAAGGGGAATCTAAAAAACAATGAACTATAACAGAAACTTAGGCATTGTAGAAATGAACTTAGAAAATTAAAAAGGACTTAAACATAAATCAAAAACATTAAAATAAGCTAAAACTCAAAACGCTGGGTCAAAAGACCCAGGATCATGACACAAACATAAGCTGCTGTGACATTACATGTCTGCAGGTTATTTTTTGAGTGCACTTATCTCAGTCACCACGTCTCTCACTTTGAAAGACTTGATTTAATCGAAAGATACCGTAGACATCCGGGGCCAGTTTTTTAATATGATTACTAAACACAGTCACCTCAAATTCCCTGCAAGCCACTCACACAATCTCTTATGTGTTGACATATTGCAACTGAATTCATCACCAAATTGATTTTATCATCTTCATTTTTTGCTGAAAGTGCTGAAGTGCTCTGTTAATGTATGATGGATAAGAAACAAAGAGGGCTTTGTGGTGCTCAGCTGAACCTTTGTGCTTTACAGTGCCATTAAAGACACATAAAGATGGTGGGCTCAAACTACACTACCCAATATGACCCCTATTACTGTTAATAAATTAGAGCCTGTGTTACCTGTAATTATCCTGAGCTCTCTATTTAATATGTAGACATGAGATTTAACGCTTAAATACACAGACTTGTAGTAAAAAATATTTCTATAATATATGATGCATTTCATTACACAAAAGCTGCAAGAGAACGGTGTAGCTGTCTAAAATATAACCGTAAAGTAGATAATAACACAAATATTATTTTGTACGTTTCATTATAATGTTTTAGGAAATCTTTTTGAAACTTAAGCTTTATCAGTGTCTTGTCTGCATTGGAATGTTTTGTGTCGGGAGCTTAAAGAGATTTTGTAACTTTTATTGAGGATCGTAAAAAGTTATCTTGTGAGATGTGAACACGACAAACTGTTTGTTTTATGATCAAGGGTTGCTGCTATCTGCATGTATAGTGACTTAGTGCCTTTTAAAGAGAAAAGATAAGCGAAAGGACAGGAAAATTCCCTGTATGCACTTTGCTGCAAACTGTGGGTTGGTCTCTGCTTCTGTGTGCGTCTGCACAAAATGTAATCAAATCAAAAATGCTGATGCATGTGAACATGTTAGTGATTGTGATGTTATACTTATGTGTCTGTGTTTACAGGAAGCCAGATGTGGCTACGCGATCATCCTCATGGCTCTGTACTGGTGCACAGAGTGCATGCCTCTGGCTGTGACTGCCTTACTGCCAGTCATCCTCTTTCCTATGATGGGCATTATGAAGGGTGGAGATGTAGGGTCATTTTTTTCCACTTCTGTGCTTCATAAGTATATTTTAATAACACAACACAGCAATTATGTAAAACGTTCACTGCTTCAACAGGAAATAATAGAGTAAGTGGCAGCCAGGTGCTGGTAATAAAATGAACTTGATTAACGGATTATCAGCACCTCTAAAAAAGTAGAAGATTTGCCAGTTTGTTGGTCTGGCGCATTGATGTGTTTGTTAACACAATGCGAAGGAGCAATGATTTTAGAGAAGCAATTGTTGCTGCTCGTCAGTGTTTGGAAAGGCCATTTCTGAACAGCGCCGGGGCCAAAATCCCCCAGAACTATGTGAGAAACCAATAAAGCTGTGCAGAAAAGGATTACGTCAAGTTATTACTGTTAAAATTGATTCATGGCATTGTGTACTTCACTTCACTCACTGCTTCTGTTTTTAGTTTTGGTTAATTAATAATGACACTGTGTAAAATGTTGTGTGTTGTTGTTTTTCTGAGTTTCTATTTAAATCATTTTAGAACCTGCTCAGGACCACATGACCTTTTATTATCTATTTTATTATCTTATTATATTGTATCTTACTGTGTCTAAATAAATACTGTGTCTTTATTTTAAAAATGATTCTATATAAAATCTGAGTTATTGACACACGTAAGAAAATTTTGCTCCTGTTTATGAATATAAAATGAAAATCAGAGATTTTAAATATAATTTAGGATTTTTTTTAAATTGCACTGAGAACAGAAAGACCATTTATGAGGAACTTGAATTAAAAAGTGTTGATACAACACTGTGTGTCGCATGAGAAAGCAAATAGGAGTGTCAAGGGAAGAAACTCTTCAGTTAGTTTAGTGTGGAAAATAGAAGTTAAATAGGACAACAGTTATTGAAAGTGTGATGTGACCCCGAGTCACTTCTTTTACGTCGTACTTCTACTGGCATGGTAACACTGCTGATCCCGTTTTTTTGCGTTTATTGCTCATAAAGCGTATTTGATGATAGATGTAGGTCTACAGGTTACCTTTGATCCATGTGCTAATGTTAGCGACTGTGTGATCTGTTTCAGGTCAGTATTGAGTATCTGAAAGACTCGAACATGCTGTTCATCGGAGGTCTGCTGGTGGCCATCGCGGTCGAACACTGGAACCTCCATAAACGAATCGCTCTCCGGGTTTTGCTGCTGGTTGGTGTTCGTCCATCGCTGTAAGAGAGCCTTGACATACAAGTCTACAAGTCTTTCAGAATCCGGTCGTTAAGTGATGACGTGACG